CCAGGTAGACCGTGTCCTTAAAGGATCCAGTCCAGGTAGACCGCGTCCTTGGAGGATCCAGTCCAGGTAGACCGCGTCCCTGGAGGATCCAGTCCAGGTAGACCGCGTCCTTGGAGGATCCAGTCCAGGTAGTCCGCGTCCTTGGAGGATCCAGTCCAGGTAGAGCGCGTCCTTGGAGGATCCAGTCCAGGTAGACCGCGTCCCTGGAGGATCCAGTCCAGGTAGACCGCGTCCTTGGAGGATCCAGTCCAGGTAGACCGCGTCCTTGGAGGATCCAGTCCAGGTAGACCGCGTCCCTGGAGGATCCAGTCCAGGTAGACCGTGTCCTTAAAGGATCCAGTCCAGGTAGACCGCGTCCTTGGAGGATCCAGTCCAGGTAGCCCGGGTCCCTGGAGGATCCAGTCTAGGTAGACCGGGTCCCTGGAGGATCCAGTCCAGGTAGACCGCGTCCCTGGAGGATCCAGTCCAGGTAGACCGCGTCCTTGGAGGATCCAGTCCAGGTAGACCGTGTCCTTAAAGGATCCAGTCCAGGTAGACCGCGTCCCTGGAGGATTCAGTCCAGGTAGACCGCGTCCCTGGAGGATCCAGTCCAGGTAGACCGCGTCCCTGGAGGATCCAGTCCAGGTAGACCGCGTCCCTGGAGGATTCAGTCCAGGTAGACCGCGTCCTTGGAGGATCCAGTCCAGGTAGACTGTGTCCTTAAAGGATCCAGTCCAGGTAGACCGCGTCCCTGGAGGATCCAGTCCAGGTAGACCGCGTCCCTGGAGGATCCAGTCCAGGTAGACCGCGTCCTTGGAGGATCCAGTCCAGGTAGACCGGGTCCTTGGAGGATCCAGTCCAGGTAGACCGCGTCCCTGGAGGATCCAGTCCAGGTAGACCGTGTCCTTAAAGGATCCAGTCCAGGTAGACCGCGTCCTTGGAGGATCCAGTCCAGGTAGACCGTGTCCTTGGAGGATTCAGTCCAGGTAGACCGCGTCCTTGGAGGATCTAGTCCAGGTAGACCGCGTCCCTGGAGGATTCAGTCCAGGTAGACCGTGTCCTTAAAGGATCCAGTCCAGGTAGACCGCGTCCTTGGAGGATCCAGTCCAGGTAGACCGGGTCCTTGGAGGATCCAGTCCAGGTAGACCGCGTCCCTGGAGGATCCAGTCCAGGTAGACCGCGTCTTTAAAGGATCCAGTCCAGGTAGACCGCGTCCTTGGAGGATCCAGTCCAGGTAGACCGGGTCCTTGGAGGATCCAGTCCAGGTAGACCGCGTCCCTGGAGGATCCAGTCCAGGTAGACCGTGTCCTTAAAGGATCCAGTCCAGGTAGACCGCGTCCTTGGAGGATCCAGTCCAGGTAGACCGTGTCCTTGGAGGATTCAGTCCAGGTAGACCGCGTCCTTGGAGGATCTAGTCCAGGTAGACCGCGTCCCTGGAGGATTCAGTCCAGGTAGACCGTGTCCTTAAAGGATCCAGTCCAGGTAGACCGCGTCCTTGGAGGATCTAGTCCAGGTAGACCGCGTCCTTGGAGGATCCAGTCCAGGTAGACCGCGTCCTTGGAGGATCCAGTCCAGGTAGACCGCGTCCTTGGAGGATCCAGTCCAGGTAGAGCGCGTCCTTGGAGGATCCAGTCCAGGTAGACCGCGTCCCTGGAGGATCCAGTCCAGGTAGACCGGGTCCCTGGAGGATCCAGTCCAGGTAGACCGGGTCCCTGGAGGTTCCAGTCCAGGTAGACCGCGTCCCTGGAGGATCCAGTCCAGGTAGACCGCGTCCTTGGAGGATCCAGTCCAGGTAGACCGCGTCCTTGGAGGATCCAGTCCAGGTAGACCGGGTCCTTGGAGGATCCAGTCCAGGTAGACCGCGTCCCTGGAGGATCCAGTCCAGGTAGACCGCGTCTTTAAAGGATCCAGTCCAGGTAGACCGCGTCCTTGGAGGATCCAGTCCAGGTAGACCGGGTCCTTGGAGGATCCAGTCCAGGTAGACCGCGTCCCTGGAGGATCCAGTCCAGGTAGACCGTGTCCTTAAAGGATCCAGTCCAGGTAGACCGCGTCCTTGGAGGATCCAGTCCAGGTAGACCGTGTCCTTGGAGGATTCAGTCCAGGTAGACCGCGTCCTTGGAGGATCCAGTCCAGGTAGAGCGCGTCCTTGGAGGATCCAGTCCAGGTAGACCGCGTCCCTGGAGGATCCAGTCCAGGTAGACCGCGTCCTTGGAGGATCCAGTCCAGGTAGACCGCGTCCTTGGAGGATCCAGTCCAGGTAGACCGCGTCCCTGGAGGATCCAGTCCAGGTAGACCGTGTCCTTAAAGGATCCAGTCCAGGTAGACCGCGTCCTTGGAGGATCCAGTCCAGGTAGCCCGGGTCCCTGGAGGATCCAGTCTAGGTAGACCGGGTCCCTGGAGGATCCAGTCCAGGTAGACCGCGTCCCTGGAGGATCCAGTCCAGGTAGACCGCGTCCTTGGAGGATCCAGTCCAGGTAGACCGTGTCCTTAAAGGATCCAGTCCAGGTAGACCGCGTCCCTGGAGGATTCAGTCCAGGTAGACCGCGTCCTTGGAGGATCCAGTCCAGGTAGACCGTGTCCTTGGAGGATCCAGTCCAGGTAGACCGTGTCCTTGGAGGATTCAGTCCAGGTAGACCGCGTCCTTGGAGGATCTAGTCCAGGTAGACCGCGTCCCTGGAGGATTCAGTCCAGGTAGACCGTGTCCTTAAAGGATCCAGTCCAGGTAGACCGCGTCCTTGGAGGATCCAGTCCAGGTAGACCGCGTCCCTGGAGGATTCAGTCCAGGTAGACCGCGTCCTTGGAGGATCCAGTCCAGGTAGACCGGGTCCCTGGAGGATCCAGTCCAGGTAGACCGGGTCCCTGGAGGATCCAGTCCAGGTAGACCGCGTCCCTGGAGGATCCAGTCCAGGTAGACCGGGTCCCTGGAGGATCTAGTCCAGGTAGACCGGGTCCCTGGAGGATCCAGTCCAGGTAGACCGCGTCCTTGGAGGATCCAGTCCAGGTAGACCGCGTCCCTGGAGGATCCAGTCCAGGTAGACCGCGTCCTTGGAGGATCCAGTCCAGGTAGACCGGGTCCCTGGAGGATCCAGTCCAGGTAGACCGGGTCCCTGGAGGATCCAGTCCAGGTAGACCGCGTCCCTGGAGGATCCAGTCCAGGTAGACCGGGTCCCTGGAGGATCTAGTCCAGGTAGACCGGGTCCCTGGAGGATCCAGTCCAGGTAGACCGCGTCCTTGGAGGATCCAGTCCAGGTAGACCGCGTCCCTGGAGGATCCAGTCCAGGTAGACCGTGTCCCTGGAGGATCCAGTCCAGGTAGACCGCGTCCCTGGAGGATCCAGTCCAGGTAGACCGCGTCCCTGGAGGATCCAGTCCAGGTAGACCGGGTCCCTGGAGGATCTAGTCCAGGTAGACCGGGTCCCTGGAGGATCCAGTCCAGGTAGACCGCGTCCTTGGAGGATCCAGTCCAGGTAGACCGGGTCCCTGGAGGATCCAGTCCAGGTAGTCCGCGTCCCTGGAGGATCCAGTCCAGGTAGTCCGCGTCCCTGGAGGATCCAGTCCAGGTAGGCCGCGTCCCTGGAGGATCCAGTCCAGGTAGACCGCGTCCTTGGAGGATCCAGTCCAGGTAGACCGGGTCCCTGGAGGATCCAGTCCAGGTAGTCCGCGTCCCTGGAGGATCCAGTCCAGGTAGACCGTGTCCCTGGAGGATCCAGTCCAGGTAGACTGGGTCCTTGGAGGATCTAGTCCAGGTAGACCGGGTCCCTGGAGGATCCAGTCCAGGTAGTCCGCGTCCCTGGAGGATCCAGTCCAGGTAGACCGCGTCCCTGGAGGATCCAGTCCAGGTAGTCCGCGTCCCTGGAGGATCCAGTCCAGGTAGGCCGCGTCCCTGGAGGATCCAGTCCAGGTAGACCGCGTCCTTGGAGGATCCAGTCCAGGTAGACCGGGTCCCTGGAGGATCCAGTCCAGGTAGTCCGCGTCCCTGGAGGATCCAGTCCAGGTAGTCCGCGTCCCTGGAGGATCCAGTCCAGGTAGGCCGCGTCCCTGGAGGATCCAGTCCAGGTAGACCGCGTCCTTGGAGGATCCAGTCCAGGTAGACCGGGTCCCTGGAGGATCCAGTCCAGGTAGTCCGCGTCCCTGGAGGATCCAGTCCAGGTAGACCGTGTCCCTGGAGGATCCAGTCCAGGTAGACCGCGTCCCTGGAGGATCCAGTCCAGGTAGACCGGGTCCCTGGAGGATCCAGTCCAGGTAGTCCGCGTCCCTGGAGGATCCAGTCCAGGTAGATCGTGTCCCTGGAGGATCCAGTCCAGGTAGACTGGGTCCTTGGAGGATCTAGTCCAGGTAGACCGTGTCCCTGGAGGATCCAGTCCAGGTAGACCGGGTCCCTGGAGGATCCGGTCCAGGTAGACCGGGTCCCTGGAGGATCGGGTCCCTGGAGGATCCGGTCCAGGTAGACCGGGTCCCTGGAGGATCCAGTCCAGGTAGACCGGGTCCCTGGAGGATCCAGTCCAGGTAGACCGGGTCCCTGGAGGATCTAGTCCAGGTAGACCGGGTCCCTGGAGGATCCGGTCCAGGTAGACCGGGTCCCTGGAGGATCGGGTCCCTGGAGGATCCGGTCCAGGTAGACCGGGTCCCTGGAGGATCCAGTCCAGGTAGACCGGGTCCCTGGAGGATCCAGTCCAGGTAATCCACCAATCAGGGAGATAAAGTGACCTGAGATGATGACAGCAGGTGAATCAGATCATAGAAATAAAGCCAATAGAAGTGAACGGAGAATTAAATTCATTATTTTCTTATGTGTCTTAATCTGTAGCTCTGACTTCCTTCCTGCACCAGTTTGCATCTGAAACCGTTTCTGCACCATGTGAACCCAGAAACTGGATCCTGGGAGGCTTTGCTCCGATTTTAAAGCACAATTTTTTTATTTTCTATAAAGCAGCTCCTTCCTGCAGCAATCCCCTGATGAAGGCGCTACCGGCTGCAGGTTCTGCTCCCTGATGCTCTTCTGAAGGACACGCCGTGGAGCGTCACTCCATCCGTGACGTAATGTGGGCGGAGCCTGTGATGAACGCCGCTTGTTCTCCTCCAGAATCGCTCCGGTCGCCTGTGATCCATCAGCTGGAGCCTGAGCGCCTCGCGCCGCAGTCAGATCCGCTCCGCCACTCTGTCCGCTCCGGCCTCAGACACCGAGGGACCCTCCGCCGGACATCCTCCGCGGTAAGAGCCGAGCGGCGGCGGGCTGCGGAGGGCCGCAGCGCCGCTGGTCGGAGCGGCCCGCCAGGCCCGGCTGGTGGGGGTGGGGGAGCATCACTGCAGCATCTCTGCTGCTGCTTCACCCCCACAGCCTCCAGCCTGACATCCATCCATCCTCTGCGGCTCCTTTGATCCATCCTCTGCGGCTCCTTTGATGCCTTTAAAAAAAGGACCTGTTTCCAGCTGCAGGTCTGAATCTGCAGCGAAGCATCAACATTTTATTATTGGCTGCAGGTTGGATCTAACGGAAATGCTTTAAATACATTTCATTCAGACAGATTTATTTTTATTTGCTTAAAAATCAAACATTAATATATCTAATCTTTTTCATTAATCCACATATCTGTAGATCTTGATGGTTTAATTTGACCTTCCAGGACCGAATGTCATAATTAATGACCTTTAACCAGAAATAATGAAGAGAAGATGATGATGATGTAAAGACCAAAGGATGTAGAAACACTGAAGGAAAATGGTTCCCTGCCGCTTCCACATTTATCATCATCTGTAAAGGAAGAAAGAAACAAGCATCTGTTTAATCTGCCTTTGATTGTTTCTGTCTGCTGATGCTGTGATGTCAAAGTTTGCCATCCTGGCCTCCATCTCTTCTTGGCCTCCAGTTTTCAGGCAGCTGTTGTTGATGTGAAGCTCCATCAGAACCACACATTTATTTCAGCTGATCCATCGATCATTTTCCAACCGCTCCGTTAGATAAAGGTGCTTTTATTGGACTGAACCATAAAGCAGATCTGGAAGGTTCAGATCAACATGTTTGGTGTTTTGGTGCAGCTCTGGGTTGTTCTTTCAGCAAACAGACAAGTTTAGACTGAATGGATCAGTCATCAGTTCTCTCAATAATCGATGAATGCAATTAACGGTTTAATGTCCAAACATCTATTCGTGACTGGCAGAGCTATGGCTGCAGAGCTGTGGCTGCAGAGCTGTGGCTGCAGAGCTATGGCTGCAGAGTTCTGGCTGCAAAGTTCTGGCTGCAGAGTTCTGGCTGCAAAGTTCTGGCTGCAGAGCTTTGGCTTCAGAGTTCTGGCTGCAAAGTTCTGGCTGCAGAGTTCTGGCTGCAAAGTTCTGGCTGCAGAGCTTTGGCTTCAGAGTTCTGGCTGCAGAGTTCTGGCTGCAGAGCTAAGGCTGCAGAGCTGTGGCTGCAGAGTTCTGGCTGCAGAGCTATGGCTGCAGAGCTGTGGCTGCAGAGTTCTGGCTGCAGAGCTGTGGCTGCAAAGTTCTGGCTGCTGAGTTCTGGCTGCAGAGCTTTGGCTTCAGAGTTCTGGCTGCAGAGCTATGGCTGCAGAGTTCTGGCTGCAGAGTTCTGGCTGCAGAGCTATGGCTGCAGAGCTGTGGCTGCAGAGTTCTGGCTGCAGAGCTATGGCTGCAGAGCTATGGCTGCAGAGCTGTGGCTGCAGAGTTCTGGCTGCAGAGTTCTGGCTGCAGAGCTATGGCTGCAGAGTTCTGGCTGCAGAGCTATGGCTGCAGAGTTCTGGCTGCAGCAATACGTCCATAGCGTGACGTCCGTAGCAAGACGTCCGTAGTCTGACGTCCATAGCGTGACGTCCATAGCGGGACGTCCATAGCGGGACGTCCATAGCGTGACGTCCGTAACGTGACGTCCATAGCGTGACGTCCGTAACGTGACGTCCATAGCGTGACGTCCGTAGCGAGACGTCCGTAGTCTGACGTCCATAGCATGACGTCTGTAGAGAGAAGTCCACAGCGAGACATCCGTAGTCTGACGTCCGTAGTCTGACGTCCTTAGCGTGACGTCCATAGCATGACGTCCATAGCGTGATGTCCATAGCGTGACGTCCGAAGTCTGACGTCCGTAACGTGACATCCGTAGTGAGACATCCATAGCGTGACGTCCATAGCGAGACATCCGTAGTCTGACGTCCATAGCGTGACGTCCGAAGTCTGACGTCCGTAACGTGACATCCGTAGCGAGACATCCATAGCGTGACGTTCATAGCGAGACATCCGTAGTCTGACGTCCGTAGTCTGACGTCCTTAGCGTGACGTCCATAGCGTGACGTCCATAGCCTGACGTCCATTGCGTGACGTCCGTAGTCTGAAGTCCATAGCATGACATCTGTAGCGAGACGTCCATAGCATGACGTCCGTAGTCTTATGTCCATAGCATGACGTCTGTAGCGAGAAGTCCATAGCGTGACGTCCATTGCGAGACGTCCGTAGTCTGACGTCCATAGCGTGACTTCCTTAGTCTGACGTCCGTAGCGACACATCCGTAGCTTGACGTCCGTAGCGAGTCTTCTGTAGCGAGACGTCCATTGCGTGACGTCCGTAGTCTGACGTCCATAGCGTGACGTCCTCAGTCTGACGTCCGTAGCGAGACATCGGTAGCTTGACGTCCGTAGCTTGACGTCCGTAGCGAGACGTCCGTAGCTTGACGTCCGTAGCGAGACGTCCGTAGCGAGACGTCCATTGCGTGACGTCCCGTAGTCTGACGTCCATAGCATGACGTCTGTAGCGAGAAGTCCATAGCGTGACGTCCGTAGCGAGACGTCCATAGCGTGACGTCCGTAGCGAGACGTCCATAGCGTGACGTCCGTAGCGAGACGTCCATAGTCTGACGTCCATAGCGTGACGTCCGTAGCAAGACGTCCGTAGCATGACGTCCGTAGTCTGACGTCCATAGCGAGACGTCCGTAGTCTGACGTCTGCAACGTGACGTCCGTAGCGAGACGTCCGTAGCGAGACGTCCATAGCGAGACGTCCGTAGTCTGACGTCCATAGCGAGACGTCCGTAGTCTGACGTCCATAGCGTGAAGTCCGTAGTCTGACGTCCGTAACGTGACGTCCATAGCGTGACGTCCGTAGCGAGACGTCCGTAGTCTGACGTCCATAGCATGACGTCTGTAGAGAGAAGTCCATAGCGTGACGTCCATAGCGAGACATCCGTAGTCTGACGTCCGTAGTCTGACGTCCTTAGCGTGACGTCCATAGCGTGACGTCCATAGCGTGATGTCCATAGCGTGACGTCCGAAGTCTGACGTCCGTAACGTGACATCCGTAGCGAGACATCCATAGCGTGACCTCCATAGCGAGACATCCGTAGTCTGACATCCGTAGCGAGACATCCGTAGTCTGACATCCGTAACGTGACATCCGTAGCGAGACGTCCGTAGCCTGACATCCATAGCGAGACATCCGTAGTCTGACGTCCATAGCGTGACGTCCGAAGTCTGACGTCCGTAACGTGACATCCGTAGTGAGACATCCATAGCGTGACGTTCATAGCGAGACATCCGTAGTCTGACGTCCGTAGTCTAACGTCCTTAGCGTGACGTCCATAGCGTGACGTCCATAGCGTGACGTCCATTGCTTGACGTCCGTAGTCTGAAGTCCATAGCATGACATCTGTAGCGAGACGTCCATAGCGTGACGTCCTTAGTCTGATGTCCATAGCATGACGTCTGTAGCGAGAAGTCCATAGCGTGACGTCCATTGCGAGACGTCCGTAGTCTGACGTCCATAGCGTGACGTCCTTAGTCTGACGTCCGTAGCGAGACGTCCGTAGCGAGACGTCCATTGCGTGACGTCCCGTAGTCTGACGTCCATAGCATGACGTCTGTAGCGAGAAGTCCCTAGCGTGACGTCCGTAGCGAGACGTCCATAGCGTGACGTCCATAGCGTGACGTCCGTAGCGAGACGTCCATAGTCTGACGTCCATAGCGTGACGTCCGTAGTCTGACGTCCGTCACGTGACGTCCGTAGCCTGACGTCCGTCACGTGACGTCCGTAGCGTGACGTCCGTAGCATGACGTCCGTAGTCTGACGTCCATAGTGAGACGTCCGTAGTCTGACGTCCATAGCGTGACGTCCGTAGTCTGACGTCCGTCACGTGACGTCCGTAGCGAGACGTCCGTAGTCTGACGTCCATAGCGTGACGTCCGTACTCTGACGTCCATCACGTGACGTCCGTAGCGAGACGTCCATAGCGTGACGTCCGTAGCGAGACGTCCGTAGTCTGACGTCCATAGCGTGACGTCCGTAGTCTGACGTCCGTCACGTGACGTCCGTAGCGTGACGTCCGTAGCAAGACGTCCGTAGTCTGACGTCCATAGCGAGACGTCCGTAGTCTGACATCCAAAGCGTCACGTCCGTAGTCTGACGTCCATCACGTGACGTCCGTAGCGAGATGTCCGTAGTCTGACATCCATAGCGTCACGTCCGTAGTCTGACGTCTGCAACGTGACGTCCGTAGCGAGACGTCCGTAGCGTGACGTCCGTAGCAAGACGTCCGTAGTCTGACGTCCATAGCGAGACGTCCGTAGTCTGACGTCTGCAACGTGACGTCCGTAGCAAGACGTCCGTAGCGTGACATCCGTAGCAAGACGTCCGTAGTCTGACGTCCATAGCGAGACGTCCGTAGTCTGACATCCATAGCGTCACGTCCGTAGTCTGACGTCTGCAACGTGACGTCCGTAGTGAGACGTCCGTAGCGAGACGTCCATAGCGAGACGTCCGTAGTCTGACGTCCATAGCGTGAAGTCCGTAGTCTGACGTCCGTAACGTGACATCCGTAGCGAGACATCCATAGCGTGACGTCCGTAGTCTGACGTCCGTAGTCTGACGTCCTTAGCGTGACGTCCATAGCGTGACGTCCATAGCGAGACGTCCATAGCGTGACGTCCATTGCGAGACGTCCGTAGTCTGACGTCCATAGCGAGACGTCCGTAGCGAGACGTCCGTAGTCTGACGTCCATAGCGTGAAGTCCGTAGTCTGACGTCCGTAACGTGACATCCGTAGCGAGACATCCATAGCGTGACGTCCGTAGTCTGACGTCCGTAGTCTGACGTCCTTAGCGTGACGTCCATAGCGTGACGTCCTTAGCGTGACGTCCATAGCGTGACGTCCATAGCGAGACGTCCATAGCGTGACGTCCATTGCGAGACGTCCGTAGTCTGACGTCCATAGCGAGACGTCCGTAGCGAGA